GAAAATAAGTAAATATCTAACACACACATATATATATATATAATCATATGACAACACCTTCTAACATGAGAACGTGAAAATAAATTCAAATTATTCATCCAATGAATCTTAAAGGTTAAGATTTACAAATCCCATTCATTTAGGTTTGAATTAATTCATTGGGTGATATAATAATTGGGAAAGAAATTTTAATTGTAATAAAATTGATTATTTATCTATCATTTTGTTGACTTGAATTGAACATTTAATGAATTAAAAATGAATATTTATCCGTAAGACTTGAATTGAACATTTAATGAATTAAAAATGAATATTTATGCGTAAGCCCATCTTGTACATTGGATAATTTTCCACAATATATTTTGCTAAGATTTAGTGGTATTGCCCGAATAAAATAAGCATATAAGTCCAAAGAAGAAACATGATTGAAAATTGTGTCTAAGACGTGATTCAGGACCAAATAAACTAATTGGATCTCTCACTTTTACTTTTGTCGATAAATTAATTGTGATTAGGTGCATCTAACGATATAATTAGTTGCACCTAGGTATATGAATGTTAACAAGATAAATTATTTGTACTTGTAAGTGAAATAATATATATATATATATATATATATATATATATATATATATATATATATGAGAACATCTTTCAACATAAAAACGTGAGAACAAATCTGATTTAAATTATCCATCTAATAAATATTAAAGGTTAAGATTTATCATTTCCCCTCGTATATTTAAGTTCGAATTAACACATGGTGATAGGATCGTTATGCTGTGCATCCGTATGCATCATGCATGGTGCATCTAGATGCAAAAACGACATCATTTTGATGTCTAACTTTAAAACAAAAAATCAGAATTGCATAACTACACATCCATAATTTCATAACTATACATTCAGAATTACATAACTACACATCCATAATTTCATAACTATAAATCCAGAATTGCATAACTACACATCCATAACTTCATAACTATACATCCAGAATTGCATAACTACACATCAATAACTTCATAACTATAAATCCAGAATTGCATAACTACACATCCATAATTTCATAACTACACATCCAGAATTGCATAACTATATATCTAGAATTTCATAACTAAAAATCCAGAATGAATGAACTAAAAAATGAATAACATAATGTTGTTGATGGAAATTGAAACTGATTTTTTTTTTTTTAAATAGGACGCGCGTTTTGATGCAAAACGATGTCGTTTTTGCATCCGTATGCACCATGCATGGTGTATACGGATGCACAACATAATTTGCCATGGTGATATAGTAATTGGAAAAAAAAAAAAAAATTTGAAGGGAGGAAAAGAAATTTAAGTTGTATTAACATTATATATATCATGGGCCTCTCTAAGAGATGGCCCTGGACAGGAGCCAAAAATTATATATATCATGGGCCTCTATAAGAGATGGCCCTTGACAGGAGCAATTTATATTCTACACCACGGCGCGCGTTGCACTGTGCGCTCAAATGCAAAACGACGTCATTTTAATTTTTTTTTTTTTTAAAAAAAATTTCCCGCCCCAGTGAATGGCAGTAATTTTTTCTTTAAAAAAAAACCGTTGTTCAAAAATGTACATAATGTTATACTAGAATACACATAATTGTATACATGAATGTACATAATTATATAACAAAATATACATACTCTTTTTAAAAGATAATACACATAATCTAACATAATACATAATAAACATAAATTTTTAACATAATACACATCAACTCTTAACATAATACACACAAATTTTCTGATTCGGATGTACATAATTGTATAAAAAATGTACATAACTGTATGAACAAATACAAATAATTGTGTAAACAAATACACATAATTATGTGAACAAATACACATAATCACAGCAACTTCCTACCGCGCCTCCCAAAGCGACGTCGTTTTGGGAGGCGCGCGGCGCACAGTGCTATGCTCGCCGTGGTGTAGGGTATAACGATTGCTGGACAGGAGCCTAAAATTATATATATCATGGGCCTCTCTAAGAGATGGCCCTGGACAGGAGCCCAACATGACCTTGCCCAGGGCCGGGCCTCAGGGCACATGAGAAGAAATTTTTTTAATTCAAATTATGAGACAAATATAAATTTATAATTTTTGTATTCTTGATTGTTCACTTTTTAAAAATCTAATACATTTTTTTTGGTAGATGTGCGCAAATTATGCCGTGGAAACGTGTTCACCATGCTTTGTGAACACGGTCTCAAACGACATTGTTTTTGCTAAAAAATAAAATAAATTAAATTAATGTGTTGTTAACATCGTTTTGCATTCTATGTTCAGATTATGAATTTACATTTATTAAATTATGAATTTTCTGTTATGAGATTATGAATTTACAGTTATGTAATTATGAATTTTCTGTACATTCATAATCTCATAACAAAGAATTCATAATCTCATAACAAAAAATTCATAATTTCATAACAGAAAATTCATAATCTCATAAAAGAAAATTCATAATTTCATAACTGCACATTCATAAATCCATACTTGATTCATAATTTATGAGTGTTGAAGAAACTTGCGCGAAGAGGAAGTGAAACCGCAAAATGTAAATATGAAGAAGAAAAAGTCGCGCTGCTAATTTTTTTTTTTTTTTTTTTTTTTTTTTTTTAAAGATTGGTGAAAGATAACGGTGCTCGTAGGCACCGTTACCGTTTGGAATCGTGTTCACCATGGATGGTGAACACGATTCCATGGCATAACAATTGGTAGATGTGCGCCTATTTTTTGTATTCTTGATTGTTCACTTTAAACCATCTTGGACACAGATTTAAAATATGACATGCATAACAAATATGACAAAGTTGATCATTTAAAATTAATTTTTAAAAAGATCTCAATAATTAATTGCATTTGCATTACTACTTACATTATCAAATGAAATATAAAAGATTTTATTTGTAATTTTATATTCAACGGAAATATGTATTTTACTAAGTGATCAAGATTTGAAGCCAATAGCTAGTCAATTATCTAAATAGTAAAAATAAAATAAAAAATGAAAAAGGAAGCCAATTTGACATAAAATATCTTCTTAGATTTTTAGTTAGAAACATTTTCTAAATTCTTTATTTTCTTAAGTTTATATTCTTTATCATCTTTTTTCTAATTTTCACATTATTATTACCACAACCACAACCACCACCACCACCACACCATCTACCATCACCAACACCACCAACACACCACCACCACCATCGCCACTGCACCACCACAGAAAAATATACTTTTATAACCTTTTAAATTATTTTCCTGAAAATGAGTCATTTTCTTGAAAAACATTTTTTGAAAAATATTTTTCAGGTTTTCAAACGGACCCTTAAAAATTATATTTTTTTATCTGTTAAATACTCAAACATTTTGAAAATTCAAAAAATAATCAAAAAAATTCGGAAAATAACTTTCGAAAATTATTTTTAAACGGATCTTAATTTAATAATACAGTCAGGTATATGTCTTTTTTTAGTCACATCATAAGATTTGCATCAAGAAAATCATACGAGATGGGTGGTTGTGAGCCAAGTATATATTAATATATATCCCGGGCAGTTGGTGTTAGTGAGGAGATCGATAGTGCCAATACCTCATGTGGTTAACCGGGGTGATCGAGGCATACAATAATTGCATCACCGCTAAACCAATATAATAATCAACAGATCAGAACACTGTACTACTTAACCTGCAGGAAAATCATATCCATGCACAAACACAATTGAGCATCCAATTCAAGGAGATTGACACATGCAACGAGTAGTCAAGAAATCACGTGTCAGTTGGGACCTCCAAACATTATTAATGATATGACGTCCCAAAACTACCAAATTAAAGGACAATATTTCTATATTTTGTCATAAGTCATAACTAATGAAAGCTGAATGGACACTGGTGACTGGACGTCAGTCACGCCACAAAAATTTAAAGTATGTTTCGTTAGAATCAATTACCCTACAATCACATTGATATGTCTTTGCCTTCTTAATGAGTACTGAGAGAGGTTCTTCATTGTTGAGCAGCATATACGAAGCCAAATCCGTTCTTTTTTTTTTTTTTTTTTTTTTTTTTTAAAGGAGCCAAATCCGTTATCTAATCAAACACTTTGTATGAGCATCCTTCAATAAGGATAATACGATAATTTGAGAATTGAAGGACTAAAGTATGTTTTTTTTTTCTTTATTAATGTGTATGTATATGTAATAACATGTATTAAAATTACAATGTCCGCATGGGTAGCTCAACTGGTCATAGAGGTGAAACTTTGGAAGAATGACCAGGGATCGAGTCTCACCAACGGTAGTGTGGGAGTACCCTCTCAAAGTGAGGGGGGCTCCTTGTGCACAATGAGCACCGGTCTAGCCTCTGTGGTTCATGTTCAGTTGAGTCACCATGATTTACATCCTCCCAAATGCTCTGTCGGGCCGGGGTGTGGGGGGCCCTTAGGGTTGGGGTTCAGCCTTTTGGAAGAATGTATTAAAATTACAATTTTCAAAATTTGTGGTCGTAACATTACATACATCCTATCCTATATGGATCCTTACCAAAATTTATGAGTACTTTCTTATTATCACTGTACTGTAAACTTAATTCATAATCAATTTGAATCGTGCATGTAAAGTTTACTCACTAAATATTTGGCCCACATCTACTAAAGTTAAATTTAGAATGGCATGACTTAGTCCTTTGTTTTATTCGAAACTATAATATTTTAAAATACTAAATAAGAATATGTTAGTTATTTCAAAAAAAAAATGTTAGTTGTTAGTTGTTTTAATTCATTGACTATAGAATATAATATCTTTATTTATGTTGTTCAATAATTTATTTCTTTTTCACTTTTAATGTTTAAATTTTGAAAATATATCATTTTCATCTTTCTGATAATATTTTTGGTGACTGGTATCACATACTCATCATAAGGTGACACAAAAATAAACCACAGCCAATTATGTAATTTTATGTTCGACCCTAATAGCTAAACCCTACGTCGTCTTCCTTGGGAGCACGAGCAGAGGTGAATCCATTTGCTTGTGTAGTTACAGTTCATGTGCATGTAGCTAGATACCGTCCTATTTGATTGTATAGGATTTAGTACCCTATAATTGGGATTTGGCTATTCTATGCATATATTCATTACCCAATCCCGATTATAAATACACACAAAATAAACCCACTATATATATTCACAAATTCACCCCTAGTATATAAATAATCCAATTAATGTTTATATCTTTTATTAGGACTACAATTTGATTTTTTATTTTAAATTATATCAAATGGGTTTTTTAATAATATATTTAAGCTACTACACCTCCACCAAGACTCGAACGCATCACCTCTCACATAAGGAAGCAACTTGGTACCATTGGACCAAAAGGTCCTTGATAGTTAAATTTTTAAAAGAGTGATGATTCAAATTCTGATACCTTATAAATTGATAAAACTTCTTTTTTTTTTTTGGAGTACACTCCAACGGGATTGAATTTGTACCTGCAACTCATTTTATGAAAAGCAACAATGATGCATCAAACCACAATGTGTTTGGTGTAATTTGACTTAGCTTGATTATTTGAGTAGGTGTAAAGTAATTTTCACAAGTATCCCTTGTATAGGATTTATAAAGTAGAGCTTACTAGCATGCACACTGCAGCTAGTGAACAAAACCGGTTGCAAATGTCTTAATACGGTGTACGTATGCGGTACGTCTAGCTGCGAATAGGACAAAATTTATTACCAAGATTACTAGGACGACTGTAGGGGGGGGGGGGGGGGGGGGGGGGGGGGTCTATAAAGTGAGAGTGAAGCCATCATCACCTATCTCACTTGAATTGGGCAGGTGGGTCGAAGAAAAGAAGGCAAAACTGTGAACGAAATGGGCTCTTTGGTGCAAATACAAGAGACCCCAACTTGGAAGAAGTTCTTGAGCTATGTAGGTCCTGGTTTACTGGTCTCAGTAGCCTATCTTGATCCTGGAAACTGTAAGCAACTAACATTCATAATATTATATTGTCTCGATCGATCTCTAGCTCACACACACATATCTTTCATTTCATCATGCTGCTGGCCGGATGAAGAATGTGCTATTTCCATTTTACATACATTTAATTTTCTTCTTACTGTACTGTACTGTGTTTCTTTTGGACGATATGCCACACATGCATATACAGTGGAGACAGATTTGCAAGCAGGAGCTGACCACAAATACGAGGTTTCCCCCTCCTTCCTTTCTTTGATCCAATTCTGTGTTAATTAAAAGGAAGAAAAAGAAGCTAATTAAATGCATAAAGAATGTACCTTCTTGAATGTTTAATTCTGATGAATTTGAACTTGTTTGGTGAGACAGTTGCTATGGATCGTGCTCCTCGGACTGGCATTTGCACTTATAATCCAATCTCGCTCAGCAAATCTTGGAGTAGCAACAGGTCACATGTATATATATATATATATATATATTAGAATAAGTTATGAACAAATGGCAATTTAGAAATGTAAAATAATGTAAATGTTGAAGCTTTTTAATCAATCTTTGGAAACAGGAAGGCATCTGTCTGAGCATTGCAAGGACGAATATCCAAAGCCAGTGACTTACTGTCTCTGGATACTGGCTGAAGTTTCCGTCATAGCTGCCGACATCCCACAAGGTTTACCTTCATATCATATATATAATATTGATTGATCCCAGTTAGCAATCCAAGTTCAACAATAAATTAAAAAGAATAAGAAATTTGAAGGGGGAAGAGATCTAGATAGCTCTATTTAACAAGATCCCAAGGTCATTCTATTCTTACCCTATCCTGCAAACCAGCAAACCAAACAGGCATTAGCACGGGCTTCTTTTAGTACTCTATATTACAATTTAATTAGTTTGTGTAGTACTCTATATTACAATTTAATTAGTTTCTGTTTAATACACGTGCAGTGATAGGCATCGCTTTTGCTCTCAAATTACTCCTCAATATACCGTTATGGTCTGGGGTCATGCTGGCTGGATTGAATACTCTTCTGCTTCTTGGGCTACAGAAATATGGCGTAAGTGCAATACTCATAACAACAATAAAGGAAATTAATGACCAAATTATAATATAATAAATGTCCACTCCAAAGTAAATAAAAGTATTAGTAACCAAATTGTAACTTAAGTCAATTGATGTTGGACTGACAACACGTGCTGAGATGTAAAATCAGTGATACAGAGCGATGATCTCACACGTTTAGTATAAACAAAGCACTGGCCTGGTTAGTAACACAATTTCAAGGATTCAGAGTTAATTAGATCTTGATTTCCCTCATTTCACAAATGAATGCAGATACGAAAGCTAGAACTAGCAATTGCAGTACTATTGATGATTGTAGGGGGGTGCTTCTTCAGTGTAATGGTACATGCCCAGCCTAATGTGAAGGACATGGCAATGGGGATGTTCATCCCAAAATTGAGCAATGGAAGCGCCACCAGAGACTCCATTGCTCTTCTAGGAGCTCTTATCATGCCGTAAATTCAAAATTTTATTTTCCTACTATTTTTCCTGTTGAAAAATTTCCTGTGTTATTGAAGTTTCTCTAATGTCTTTGAGTGAATAATTATGCAGGCATAACCTATTTCTCCATTCAGCTTTAGTCACATCTAGAAAGATCCATCGTTCAAATGATCAGATTAGGGTAATAAAAATTGTCTTTCTTATGAGTCCAAACAAAACAAATAAACACAAGACTAGCTTCTTACCTTTAACTGCTTCCTCTGTTTCAATACAGAATGCAACAAAGTACTTCCTGTTGGAGAGTGGAATGGCATTGTTTATAGCATTCCTTGTCAATGTAGCAGTCGTTTCAGTTAGTGGAAGCATATGCTCAAATCCATATGCTTCTGCAGACGAGAAAGCACATTGTAATGAAATCACTCTGGACTCAGCTGCATTTCTGCTTAAGGTCTTTTAACTAACTTTCCAGTCAATAACATGATGAGATTCAAATATCATAGTTTATTTCTGTAATGCTTTGTCTGATTCATCTTCTCCCTTGTTTTTTCTTTTTCTGGGCTGCAGGATTCTCTAGGGAAATGGAGTTCAAAGCTTTATGCTGTGTCTTTGTTGGCATCAGGTCAGAGTTCATCAGTCACAGGGACATTTGCTGGCCAGTATATAATGCAGGTAGTACTTTGATTAGTATTTTAAAACAGAATGATAGAGAGAAAAGTAAAAGTATTTGCAAGAAATGAATATAAATTCATAATTTGCAGGGGTTTTTGGATCTGAAAATGAAGCTATGGCTGCGAAATTTGCTCACCAGGTGCATAGCAATTGCGCCAAGTTTAATGGTCTGCGTCATCGGCGGATCTTCTGGAGCTGGGAAGCTAATTATTATTGCTTCTGTAATGACAATAAAACATAATACATTTACAAAATTACCAAGCACTGATACATGGTCAAGAATTTAACTTAATTTTTTCTTGGAGGTAATTCAGATGATTTTATCATTTGAACTACCATTTGCACTGGTTCCTCTTCTTAGGTTTACCAGCAGTGGAAGCAAAATGGGGCAGCATAAAAACTCTAAGATGGTCAGATTATAAACTTCAAACTACTTAAATTTTTGTTGCACTCTAGAGTTCACTGAAAGCACAAACTATTTAAGGCACCCATTGTTTCCATCCTCCAAATAATAGGTAACAGTGATCACATGGCTACTAGGATTCTGCTCAATTGGGGTCAACATCTATTTCTTAAGCAGAAGTTTGTTTGGGTGGCTTACCAGCAAAAAGATGCCCAGGGCTGTATCCATCTTCTCCACAGTAATGATCTGTCCAGTAATGGTGCTTTATGTTGCAATGCTGGCCTACTTGACGCTGAAGCCAGAAGCTACAAGCAAGAGTGTCCAATCTTCTGAAGCAAGTTCTACTGGGACTGTTGAAATGGAGCTAGAGCAAGGTGCTGACTTCAAAACTCCGATGTAGCTGATGAGATTTAGAAGGATGATCTAGTCCCTCTGTAGGACACAAGTTCTTCACCATCCCCACCGCATTATATAATATTCTTCAGTAGTAATCAAAAGAATAAATTACAGTAAAGAATAAATCTGTAGTGACTTACAGGGGTAAATTTTCAACTTGCATCTATTAAAAGTTAAAAGGTTCCTCATTAAGTACAACTAGAACTCAAAATATGACAAAAATTTGACCTCGATAGATCTGCTATTGGTTCATACATTGCACAACTACCTCCAAAATTAATTAATAATAATAATAACTAATCTAAAGCAGGTGAAAATGAGTTACTCTCATGTCGTTAATTACAACTTGAAACTGCAAGGCAGCAACTGTCTGGGTACGAGTATGAAATGCAAGTTTAATATGCTAAGTTGCAGTTTAATACTTGATCATATGGTGGCGTAACCAGAGTTCATACATGACCATATGGAAAGCATCAAGTTTGATGGGAGGTGAATTCCACTGGAAGTGCTTCTGAACCTGGAATAAGAACATTAACAAGTAGAAAACTCTTATCAGTGTCGACAACTCTACAATTGCAAAAAAAGTAAATAGACGAAGGTTAATAAACATTTATTCTTTTGTTCAGTCTGTGAAGAGATCACCACTGCCAATTAAAATCTATGCACTCCTGCAGCTGCTTCAAGCCCAGAAAATGCAAGATATTGATTATGATTTATTATTATTATTATTTCTTTTTTATTAGTCACATGCAAGATAAATACAAGGCTAAAAACAATTAAACAATAAACACATTGCCTACCTTTACTAAATTATTATGCAAACTCACAAACTCTTCCTGGGTTATGTTCTTGAGAATTTGCTTTAGCTCAAAGACATCTTTCTCCCTGAGTATTACCGAAAATTTATGCCAATCAAGAATGTCACTGAATGGCAAGTCATAATAATCAGACATTATCACTGCAAGGAAACACCAAAATATTGGAGATTAATGAGCAAAACACTGTAGCAAAAAAAAAAAAAAAAAAAAATATATATATATATATATATATATATATATATAGAGAGAGAGAGAGAGAGAGGGAGAATATGCAATGGTTCATTATTAAAGTTTGAATGTCCAAGCAGTGAAATAGATATTAAAGTAATTTCAACAGAAGTCCTTACTTTTTTCTGAGATATAACAACCTATAGTTGGGTTGCTGCAATGCTTCTAGAGTCGAGAAGAACAATATAAGGTTCAATCTCACAGAGAGAGAGAGAGAAAGATATTTATACACAAATCTAGTGTTGGGAAATGAACTTTACACATACAGTAAGGATAATTAAACACTAAATATTTCATTGAAGAACTGATGGTGGGTGAGAAACTAAAGATAAATATATAGAAATCATCCTTAATTAATAAAGTATAAAATATTGTTTGTCAATGAGAATCCACATAGGAAACTTTCCCATGACATAGTTTTGCTTCGTTGCCAACTAAATCATAATCACCAATTTTGTACTTTACCATCAATATCAAGCTATCAACAATACTGCTACAAAAAAAAGAAACCAATTGGTAACTGATTCAATTAGCATTAAAAATTAAAGTTCTTACCAGGAATACAGCCATAGTGTATGGAGTCTGCTATCCGAGCACTGTTAACCTGAGAGCCACCAGGACATATGCAGAACTTTGTCCTGTAAAATCTCTTTTGGTAGAGTAGAGGTCCAGCAGCTCTATTAATTCTGTTGTTAGAAATATCAAGCTCTGTGTCATTTTCCCATACACGGGCCAAGATAACCCTGATTTTAGAATTCCTATGGCCTGCCCAGAATCCCAAACTTGTCCTGCAATAGAGAACAATTATGGTTAATTACATGGAAGGCTTGAATAAGCATCTATATATGTTCAATAAAAGAAATAAATAAAAATAATAAAAAAGGTGTTGGATGTAAGAAACACATGCATAGAAAGAGAAACCATTTGAGATTAAAAAATCCACTACTAAGGTTTAGATAATATTATGTTATGCTTTTGCTTCATTGATTATGAAGAACTATATAGGATACGCATTGCAAAGTCAGTATAAAAAACCCATGCTCAGAAAATATATCTTGATCCCCAAAAACAAATTTACATACATATAGGAATTTACCAAAAAATAACCCAACTTGTTCATTCTTGATTTACTCATTAAAATGAAGTAATGAACAATGTTCACTCTGTATATGAGAAAACTCAAACAAAAGAAAATGCAACTCTCAGTAGTTGCTATGATTTTCACAAATTCAAGTGCAAGGATTCCAACTTGCAATTAGAAGGACAATAAAATCAATGCCAAGAGAAAAATAATGGCTGATGAGCAAAACCACATAGAGACCCTAGTGCAAAACTAGTTTACCTCTTCTTTACACAAAGCTATGGTCACAGTATCTGCCAGGCACATCAGTCCACATATAAATAACCTAGACATATTTGAAGTTAATGCAATTATGCAAAATAGAAAGCTGTAAAGTATAACTTTATTCTTGGCATTCCATATACCAAGCCACTGGTATAAAATTTATATGAATGTATGCCAATTAAAATATGGAAATGTTGCACAGAAAATCAGATATCAGTTGAGTTCACAAATTACAGTAGCACCTGTTTTCCACATCATTTCCTCCAGCTGGAAGGGCAAATGGCTGAAGTACTTGTGGAAGAGCAACATCTTTGTGTGGAATATACCCAACATTATAGCTTGGGGAACACACAACACGAATTGAGTTCTTTATGAGCAATGGAAGTCCTTCAGTTGCCCTTACACCAACGTCATGGCAAGTAACAAAAAAGTGATCTGCACCTAGGGTTCTATTCCAGTATGGGTACTTTGCTATTAAGCTCTCAACATAGTTCTGGACAATTATGGTCATGTTTTCATAGGATGTACCCTGCATACCATCAAGATCAGGAATAAATAAAAGACCCAAAACTTGGGTTCAAGAAGTTCTGACAAGCATAGTGTGAGACAGAAAACAGCTTAATAGTAGAGATGAAATAGGAAATTGTGAAGCATATATGCTTAAATTAGGTAAGCCAAGAAAATAGCTTTAAAAATTATAAATAAATAAATAAATAACAAAAACCAACAACCACAACTACTACAGATAATATGTGGGGAGAAGTATAGACAAAGAAATTATGCCTAGGCAATAAAACTCAACCCATGTTCCCCCTACCTCAAAACTCGAAAGGAGGCCATTATCTTTTTTGTTGCATCTCCTTGTGAAGATAGCATTTTATGTTCTTAGCATGAATTCCAAGCCAAAGGAGATTTAAATCTCAAGCACTATAATCATTTCATAAGAAAAGCTAGGAATAACAACCAAGAGCAGGAGTCCATCTCATGTGTGACATGACTTTAAAGTTGTAATAAATTTTATTTTGAGATTATACGGGCAATTGGTCCTACAACTGTTGCAGCATAATGGGCCAGCCATCTGATATTACTAAACAAGGAAAAAACATCTAAACCTAAATAGCTTTTCTATTGAGCATGGTGATTTGAGAAAAAAATGGAACACTAAAGAGCAATGACAACAGCCTTTGTGGCCACTAAGTATAAGCACAAGCAGCTTCCAAAATTAATGTGGAAAACTTGGACCATATAAAACGCATTCAATTAGATACATAAAAGATGCTTCAATAGGGACATGAGGAAATCACTCAAGTAAAATGATCCGGCGAAAAACCATTTAGGCCTTCCCCAGATAAAAAATTCCTTAAGAAAAATACATGAAGTTAAACTAGCAACAGTAACTATCCTGATATACAATCATTGGCATCAAATTGAACCACGTTTCAAATGCATATACCTTCCCTCGCATCTTATGACAAGAGATTGGAATGAAGAACAAGTTAGCCTGATCCGGATCATCCGTAACGAACTTACTCCCCCTGATATTTTGAAAGAAGTAGCCCTCACTAGCATACTTCCCTGTCAGCTTCCTCGGCGTCTGGTAGTACGTCTTCGGATCGCCATCCCGATATATATACACCTTAAATTTCCTCTCCATCTCCGCATAGCTCAATCTGAACACCTCCGGCGAGTGAAACACGTCCGAATACTCCTCGTTCCCGGGGGACGATAGTAATGATCCTGAAACATCATCACTATCCAACGTGATTACCTGAAGTATCCAAAACAGTAAAAATTAGCATTTGGTTTCAGGAAAAAAAAAAAATCTGAATTGAGGAAAATTTACCGTAGAAGGTTGAAAGCGAGGAGAATTGGTGGCGGATTGGAGAGAGGGAGAGAGGATGGAGTTGAGAGAGAGGTAGGTGAAGGAGACTAGGGTCAGGATAGCGAGAGCGAGAAGAGAGCCTCGGAGAGTGCAGAAGGTGAAAGTAGATGCTTGTTGCTGTGATGGTTTCACAGCCAACATCGCCGACGGAGAGGGCTGTTTCCGGCAGATCGTGATAAAGGCTGAGCTACAGCGTGCTAAACTCGAGCTCGAGATTTGGGCTTTCAGTAGACTTGAAGAAATCGTAGTAGAAGACAAAGATGGGCAAGCAAAAAATAAAATAATGTAATTTAGGAATAACAGCCTAATCAGAATTTTTAAAATAATGTAGAATTTTTAAAATTCTAAATGAATTAGGTAGTAGGAGAAATCAACATCTAACATTAAGAAAATAAATAAATTATAGAGTTTACAAAATTCTCTACTCTAACAAAATGATGTTGAGGGCCAACTAGGAATGAATTAGGTAGTACGAGGAACTAACAATATGAATTATAGAGAGACGAATTATATGTGTACAGAATTCTCTACTCTTACAATATGAATGTTAGAGACATTTTGGTCAACTTAAAATAAGTTAGACAATATTGGTGAGTTTGAAAAACTTGAAAAATGACTTCTGAAAAATATTTTGTGCAAAATGAGTCATTTTTTAGAAATTATTTTCATTTCAGTGTTTGTTTGCATTTCTAAAAATTTAGTGTGTTTGCAGGGACGGAGGGAGAGGGAGGCAGGGGGTGGCCGCCCCCCCCCCCCCCTCCCCCCTCGCCCCACCCCCACCCCATATATAGTATTTGTATGTATATATAGTACATGTTTTAGTATTAGTATAAACAATTATAAAATATTAACAAGAAGTGAGTTAGAGTAGGTGGTAGAATATAACTTTTGTAATATTGAGGTTAAGGGTTCCAATCTTAGCATCAACATAACTTTACAATTCTTTTTTAATATTACACACACACTCTATAATAAGATGTGTAATTTATAATGTGTTTTCTATTCAAATTATTTTATTAATAATAGCTTTTTTAATATTACACACACACTCTATAATAAGATGTGTAATTTATAATGTGTTTTCTATTTAAATTATTTTATTAATTATGTTTCATATTTTGTTATGAATATTTTTATAAAGTTTCGATGGTGTTTTATTTTTCGTCCATATCCAACAATATTTACAATTATATTTCTTAGGTAGTTTATTTATTTATTTTTAAATTATCTCTTTTGTTTTAATGTTTCGCCTTTTCTAGAAAAATTTTCTGAATCCGTCTGTACTGTTTCGCCCCCCCCCCCAAACCAAATTTCTGGCTCCGTCCCTGTGTGTTTGGATCATTTTTCCAGAAAATGAGAAGAATTTTATTTAAAAAATTATATAAAAAAGAGCAATAGTTTCAAAAGAAAAAAGTTTCCAAAGCTGGAAACCATATAATCTGGGTTCTAAACTTCTGGTTTCCCAACAAAAACTACCAGTAAAATTGGTTTCCAAACCAATTTTACTGGTTTTCGTCGGAAACTTAGATTTTTGATTTCCGACAAAAATTAATGAAAAAGATGGAGAATAGACAAAAGATGTTTTGAATTTTTGGAAAAATGACTTTTCCAAAAAGACAAAGTTATTTACTAGAAAAATGAAATTGTTTTAAAGTTTCTTTTCTCTCACATGGTACATAAATAAATGAAGTAATGAAACAATCATAATAGCGAATTTGCCATAACTGCACATACAACAACCTTTCGACTCCATAACATATATACCATTTGTAAATTAATTGACTTTTATTCGTAATATAAAAAAGTTCAAACAATAGTCGAATTTTTTTTAAAACAAAAATAATATAATTAAAATGTGTACAATAATATCAAACACATTATACTTAGATGACACTTTTGTGGATCTCCTTGAGTAATGTCTCAAGATCCCTTTTAATAGAGTCAATAATACTCAAAACATACTGTGTACAGTAATAATAAGTAATTTTAGTATGAAAATATAATATGATTCTTCCGTCTTCAAAAAAAAAAAAAAAGCATTATATTCAATGTATTTTCATAAGCATTAATTAACTAATAATCTTAGGCTAAGGGGTGTTTGGTTGGGAGGACGGAATTAGAAAGGAAATGAATTGCAATTTGGTGGGAAAAGAATAAGGTAGGAATAATGTAGGAATTCAAATTACATTGTTTGGTATGGAGGAAAAGAATTATTGGGAATGAGAAGGAAAAAGTGATAGAAAGACTAAAATGTCATTGTGTAATAATAATAATAATAATAATAATAATAATAATAATAATAATAATAATAATGATAATAATAACAATAAGGGTGTTTTTGTCATTTCTTTCTTTATTTCATTTCCCACAAGCATTGAATTGCAATTCATGGACAATTCCCTCCAACCAAACACTGTAATTGAGACCTTCATTGAATTACAATTCAATTATAAATAAATTACATCCAACCAAACGCCTTGTAAGTTTTTAACAATTTTCTCCATGCCAGCTTCTTTAAGGGATTTGATGGACAATTACAATGTTATGTAAGAATACCTTACTCTAGTTTGTACAGACAGTTCAATTGATTCTTGGTGGCAGATTGTGAGCCCTTATATAACTGGAGCACAATGCATGTGTGTACCAGGCACTAATACTCCAACTTAATGAATGACTAAATCACCTGATTTACCCTTTTACTATTTTGTAGATCGGGGTCAAAAAATTACGCCTTTGTTTAAGCAAGAACACCATACTCTAGGGAAATTATTTGTTGAGTTTAATTTGGTTGTTTTAGAGTCCTTTCCCTCCTTGTCCATAAATAAATAGATTAATGAAGCAACCATAATAGTGAATCTGCCATAACTCCATATACAACCTCTCAACTCCTCCATCACATATATTTCCCAGTACGTATACCACAAGTTATAGTAACAATTTAGTCGACCATTTCAAGCATTTGATGCGGAAACCCGATCGAGTATTCAGGAGACACAGTTTTGTCCTCTTTTAGAAAGTGAAACAACTGACAGTCACATGGGGAAAAGTTTATCCTTTAGCTTGATGATGAGAGCAAGTTGGTAAGATGGTGAGGGCCGAGGGGGAGGCCTGGGAGTGGATCGGCGATCGTAACGGAAGAGCCGACCAGACAAACGATGTTCTTAACTGCGTTTTTCCCGGTTTAACATCCATCGCAAACGACACAGACTTCCAACTACATATCGTACGTTACGTTAAATCCCACATATATTACTTTTCCATTTAGGTCCGTTTGGAAAGCAGGAAAATGACTTCTGAATTTTCTGGAAAATGAGTTATTTTCCAGAAAACATTTTCCTTTTCGGTGTTTGGCTACATAACAGAAAACTGTCTTTATGTGTTTGGTTCCTTTTCCAGAAAATTAGTAGGAAAATGAAAAAACCCAAAAAAAAAAAATCACAAATTATTATTATTATTATTTAATATAACACTATACATAAACAAGGTACAAAAAATAGGCAAACATAACAGATCAGATTTCTGGTGGTGAAATTAGTATTTAGGTAAACAAAGCAGATTCAGCATTAAAAATAGGCAACCATAGCAGATTTCCGATGGTGAAATCACTAATCAGTAATCGGACAAACATAGCAGTTTCGGCAGTATCCATAAACATAGCAGATTTCTGGTGGTGGTGGACAACAGATTTGGCGGCCTACGTCTCTCTTTCTTTATTCTCCTAGCGACGATGGATAGAGCAGCGGCGACCTGGGTTTCTTCCTACGTCTCCCTCAACAGCGACAGACAGATCGACGGCGGCGACAGTCTCTGGTGTTGATGCGACGGCGACAGGCAGATCGACGGCGGCGACGAGATGAACCTCTAGTAGTGGTAATGGTCTCCGGCAACGGTCTCTGGTGTTGATGCAATGGCGATGAACCTCCAACAGTGGATGAACGAAAGAATGCAAAGAATGGAAAATGACTTCCCCTCTCCCCAACCCCAAAAAAAGTCATTTTTTAAGAAAATTGAGCTCATTTTCCATTGATTTCTCTTCAATTTCCTTTGACCACTCATTTTCCAGCCCAGCCAAACACCAAAAACCAGAAAAATGATTTCTGGAAATCATTTTTCGGGTTTCCAAACAAACCCTTACTGTCTTCACTCTCTTGGGAAGTCTCGTAAAAGGAACTTAAGAACCAGATAAATAAAGGAATGTTTGATCACAAACTTTAGACTGATAAGGCTCACTATCCTTTTTAATTTTTCTTAGCAAACAACGAAGATAACAAATTAGAACTTTTGAAGTACGAATGCTACTTAGTTGAGAATAAAAATTACACTTACAAACAGTGTGTATTGACAACTGACAACTATTTACTATATAATATCCAACAAATCATATGCTTTAAATTTGACATGAGCAATATATTGATTGTTGAAGAATACTACAAGAATTTGTGTGTTTGTAATTGTATGGAATTAGATATTTTTAAATCGGTAAAATAATCATTTGCATTTCTTTTTCCAAAAGGCTGAACCCCAACCCTAATCATTTGCATTTCTTTCCCGATGAGGTGGTACTTGGTAGAATTTGTGTTGTAGTAATATCGACAGGTAATTCAGTTAACTGGTATTTTCGAAACGATTTAATCGTAATAATTCGGTTATTATTATTATTAGATTTAATTTTACGGGAGGTTCTTTGTCTTTGGTAATAATTTCAAATTTAATTTTAAATTATCATTTTTGCTATTTAACACACTGAACTGTAATATTTTTTACACTTTTTAGTCTTCCAATAACTTTTCTGTTGAAACTATATTTTAAACAAGGATATTTTTGTCTTTTAATTCAAAATATAAAAGTATTATATTTTCTTATATAAATAATAAACATTTTATTAATGGTAAGTATTATATTTTTCAATATAAGTATTAAATTTTTATCTTGACTTTATCCATATCACGAATTCGAATTTATGAGACAGCCTTATACAAGTTTTTACCTAATAATAATATCATATTTACTATTTTGTGTTTTGTAAAATTTTCATTTCATGTACAGAATTAAGTAGGTGGTGTACATCATCCAATCATGACACAATGAGTCATAAGTCATAACTCATAACTCATGATTTTCTCGTAAGTAATTCAATTGACGGTTAAAGCTGACACAATACATCACAACAACAAAAGATCACTACAACAAAGAAACTTATACATCACAATAACTCATGATTTTCTTATATCTCAATTTCTCATCTCATCTCTCTCTCTCCCTTCTTATTTTAGTATTTCACGATAACCACGCAATCCTATTCCTCTCGCCAGTTCAACACCCTCTGACTCTGACCATAAGGCATCTCAATAGTAATGGTTTATTTTGTAGATTTTTAAGTTCAAGTAGGAAATAGAGGAGGGAGAAAAAAAAAAGAAAGAGAAAAAAAAAAGTTATCTTTTACGCGCTCAGTATGACGTGTGCTATACACGTGCCTTACGGGGCGTAAAAACCATCACTTGCACGAAACAAAAAATTATAAAAACTATATTTCTCCATTTATTAGAAACTTGCTCTCCAATTTTTTTTATATGCAAAAACCTTCTAAATATCATTATTGGACATGCTCTAACAAATTTTTTAATTTGGATAAAGACAAAGTATATATTACAATATTACATATACTCGAAATATCATGTTAATATTTTTTTAACAATCATATTATATTTTTCTTTTCATATTTATTAGTTATTAATCAATTCATATTTGAAACTTTTCTCCAAATTACTTTATTATATAGTGAAACTTTGTCATGAGTTGAATTTGAACCCAAATTAATGTATTTCATTTTAATTAAAATAATAAACTAATAATTAAATTATATATTTATTATTTATATATTATTGTATTGTGTTGGGACCTTGGTCTTTTCCATATTTGGCACATGATATTTGCTCAGATGAAAATTTTAGACCAAGTAGAGTTAGATACTTGCATATATATCTTATCATCACAAGAAAAGTAGTGCATATTATGTGCAGAACACACTTTTGCATGCATTTTTGCATGTGCAATTTTTAAATACTAAATATGTATAGTAATATGTCATTTCAAAAAATATATGTAATATATTAATACTAAATGTACATTTTGTAATAATTAAATGTGTAAATCTAAATTTTTTTAAGAAGTGTAGATTTTAGTGTTTAATTTTGCATAATAAAGTTAGTGATAATTATAAAAATGTCATTACATTTCTTTTTTAAATATAATCTAATCCATCTAATTTTTTTTCTCCAGATGTAATGCTGAAATTTGTTCTCAGTAAATGAATGTAAAAACAAGAAAGAAAATTACTATTTTTTATATGAGAATTAACATTTATTATATTCTTTCCCTTCTCTCAAAGTCTCAAACTATGCCCAATTAAATGTGTATTTTGACAATCTTACACTTAAAGCAACCACATTAGTGATTTTTTAATAGATTTTTTGGTGTATTTTTGTGAGGTAGAAGAGAGATTAGAGGAGAGATAGGCAAGTAAATCTGTAATGACATTATATTCCATTTGTCAAGAAACTAAGAAAAAAAAAAACGACATGATTTATTATTTCTTCTTTTTATTTTTTTTTTGTTTAGGGGTACCAAAGTAGTCTAAAGGAGTCCATGATTTGTGTGAATGATTCTTTCTATATATTTCGTATTATATGTAGTGTAATGACTATACTTAAATACGTACTTAACATGACAAATGTATGTACATAGAAAATGTAGAGAATTCCATCAAGTCACGCACACTTCACTGATAAGAAAATCTATTCTTTCTAGTGTAAGTATAATTTTGAAACATATAGTAAAACTTTATGTAAATATATATAATATAATTAAGAAAAGTTTATACAAAAAATTTTTTTAAAAGAAAAGTTTATACAACACGAATTTCTCAGTCGGTTCCTAAAGTACGTGGCAGATTATGAGCAAAGACGCAAGATCAAATCTTGACTCTATAACACCTAATGTCGTGAATTCCTTGTAAACACCAAACACTAATCTTCTCACTTAATGAATCATTAATGAATTTTGTTGGTATAGAAATACATTGTAACGTAGTGTCTGAGAAGGCGCGGTCTGAGACTCAGTTACCCGAAAGAGGAAGACAGTGAGAGTAGTTCTGGAGAAGACTGACTCAAAATACAAACAAAAAAAAAAATCAAAGATACACACCATTAACAGTACCCCCTTTTAATTAATAATGTAACAGTCCAAAATCTATCACCAATCCCAAAGATAGCGGTTCAACAACAACTATACATCATCAGAGAAAGCAAAATGTAACCAAGATAGATAATTTACCCGACGGAACATTGGAATCATCAACCCTACATATGGTTAATTATTTGTGATGAAGATGAATTGCTGTACAGCTATTAAAAAAACAAAAGGATGAAAAGAACAGCATGCAACAAATGTCGTCCAGCATGCCAAACAATACAGCTAATATCGCCCGCACAGACTTAGTTCAATGGTTCAATAGACAATATTTAGAAGAAGAGACCAAAGTTTAAATTTCGGTGGCTGCAATATGAGAATTATGTCTAAAGTGGGTATGGCAGATTCCTGTGCGCACCGACATTTAACCTTGTCTGTTGAGTCATTGGGTCATCCTAATTTACATCCTGCCAAAGTCTGGCAGATTATCTCTTGTGCGAACCTACATTTGACCTTGTTTGCTGAGTAATTGGGTCATCATAATTTAAATGCTTTGTAGGACCGGAGTGTGGACTCTTGGAATTGCGGATTTAACCTTTGGGACGGTGAAGACAAGGCTAACATTGATGCGGATTACATGCAGAATAATGATGACAAGAATTGAGAAACCATCATTTGTATGTAACAAATTAAATTGCAGCCAGATTCAATAATTACATACAACCTTAATTCTTTATTGAAATTATTGCAGAAATTAATGAAGTCGATCTATGTACAAGAGAAGCATTTAAACAGTACAGAAAACGAAATTAAACATCAAAAGGCCGGAGAAAAAGCTTGTGCTTTTCCTATCTCACGTTCTCTTTTGATGATTTTCAGAGATCATATATAAAATTAACTGCAGCTGACTAGATAGAGAAAGAAGAGAGTACTTATATTAGCATATGAAATTGATCTGATGATTTATTTCTTTGAATTTAATGATCTGATCTATGGCAAAGCACTGAATTCATTGAAGTTGGTGGCCCAAGCTTGAATGAGATCGTCCCAGTCGTCGTCTCCGGCGTTTCCACTCCCATTTCCAAAAGTAGTTGGGTCGTCGTCAAAGAGCCATTCAGTAGCTTCAGCGATTCTTGAACTACTTCCAAAAGACGATTCCGATGGTGGTGTCGGAATCTCCAGGTTCTGAAACAGGAGGATGGGTTGTGGGTTTTGAATCTGGTTCTCAAGATCAGCAGGAACACCCAGCATTTTCTTGTGCTGTAAATTCCACTGCAAATCTTGATTTACAGTGCCCACCGGCTGGATTAGGGGTGCAAGGCTGCCCAGTTCTTGAGATGCACCACTATTTCCAGTATCAAGTAAATAAGAACTGGAAATGGAGGAGCACGGTAATGGGTCGAGACTGAAGCAAGGGTTTGTCGGCGGCATAGCCAAAAGAGCGCCGGATAACTGGCTGATAAGAGCGGCGGCTGAAGTGTTGTAGCTGGGAACTTTTATCCCGCCCAGCAGATTAAAATCCAAGGGGGGAGAGACACCACCGTTAAGGTATCCCAGTCCGCCGAGATCAGTAATTGCAGCGAGGGAAGATTTCATAATTTTCTTGGTTCTCCGGCAGCTGCCGCCGACGGGGACGGTGCGCAACACCCCTCCTTTAGTCCAGTACCTTCTGCACGTCTTGCACAAGTACCTTGGTTGGGATTGGCTGTAGTTATTGTAGTAGCAAAACTTGGTGTTTGGCGAATCACATCTTGGGCATTTCTGGGGAGCGGGAGAGGGCTGCTGTGGCCGTGTCACCGCCGGAGTTTTCTTGCCGTCGCCGGACATCTGCTCATCACCTTTGTTGCCTGCTGCCATGTTAGGAAGAGATCGAATATGCAAAGGAGAGCAGCTGGCTATATATAGCTAGCTATCGACAAAAGGCTAATATAGTGTGTATAACAACACTCATGTATATATAGTCTGATCTAATGGAGAAAAGGTTGGATAAGAAATGGATGCACAATATATATAGGCTCTTTATTGTAAAATAGTTAACAACTAATTTTAATTTATTTGACCACTATTAATTGTTTGACTTTATTAAAAAATCAATATAAGTGTTTGGTTAATTAGTTTCTTTGTAACTTCAAAATGCTAAATTCAAAACAATTTTTTCAATTAACTTTTTGAGAAAAGAAATTATATCAAACAGTTATCAGCTAAAAACTAATTTACCAAACATGTTTCTACAATCAGCTAATGTTATCAATTAGTAATAAAAATTTATATATTATAATTATGTTATTTTAAAATCATTTGTGAACATATACAACTTATTTACATTTTAAAAATATTATAAATAATTTTGCTAATTATATTCCAGTAAAATTTTCTTTTATTTTAGAATACAATGTACATTAGTTTACAGTAAACAAAATAAGATCCACACAACTTGTGTGGACCATGGTTCATACCACACTGCCACTGACGAGACTCCGTCCCTGATCATTCTTCCAATTTTTCACATCTATAACCATTTGAACTGCCCATGCGGGTATATTATCAATATTAAAACGGACACTCATGGTGCATACACGCTCCAACTCGCTCCATTGTCATCCTTTATACGGAGTGATATCTTAGAATCTAAGTTTTAAATGTAAAAAGAAAAACATTAAATAAATTAAAAATACATTTTAAAAACTTTGTCAGTTTAATCGAAAAACAATAGATACCTCCCGAGGGTGTTTGGTAAATAGTTGTTAGCTGATTGGATTATTAGATTGACTAGTTGTGTAGACACTTAAATTTTGATAAATATTGATTATTTATCAATATTAGAATATTTGAATATATTTTGGATAATATTGATATTATCTAATTTGTTAATTAGATAATATCAAAAGAGTTTGAGCTTATCAAAACTCTCTATCCTACAACTATAAATAGAGCCTTTCATTTCTATGTAATCACACACATCCTAGGAAAAGTGATGTAAACATCTAGAAAAATATTATTCAGGATCACAATAAAAATGTGATACTGAAAGTAGAAGTCTCTCCTCCATAATGATCATGCCTATGCCTATTGATCCAAACCTCCATTGAAGATCAAGCCATTTGAACCCGGAGGCCCTTCAAGAAGAACAAGCTATATATACAAGCCCTTCTTTGAAGATCAAGCCACTTGAAACCCGGAGGCCCTTCAATGGTGGAGTGTTCAAGGCATCAATTGAAGAATCAGAGGATATCCAGAGACATGTACCCACACCGCATTGATACTTGATATGTAATTCGGAATTTTGAATTTCTATATTTTAATTCAATTTTCTTTGTTTACAAGTTGATAACATTAACTGATTGTAGAAAAGTATTTGGTAAATTAGTTGTTAGCTTATAGCTGATTACATACAAAATGACTTTCCCAAAAAGCTTATCGAAAAAGTTACTCTGAGCAATTTTTTTGAATTTTAGGATTTTGAAGTAATAAGTTGTTAAAAAACTAATTAATCAAACATGATTGTTTGATCAAGTCAAACAGTTAATAGTGATCAAATAAATCAAAATTGACTGATATGCTAACTATTTTACTAAACCGACGCTTATAAATTATATTAAGAATAATGCTGAAAATTAGTTGTGGAAGTTAATTTGGGGAGTTGAGTTTCGTTTTGCAGATAGAGGCAAAGGTTTTGAAATGTTCAACGGTTTCGTGCATGGGATTATTGTAATACGATGAGAGGATGTTGACGCCTTCTTGTGATCTTCATCAAGAAAGGGGCTTCGTTCTAATTTATTTGTACTAAATCTTTAATACATATATCTTGTTATATTCATTTTTATTTTTTTTAAAAAAAAGTATAGTACAAATAATATAGTTTAGAAACTAATATTGGAGATTGGACGATATTAAAGGATAATTAAAGCTAAGAATGATTAAGGGATGTTACTAGAAAAGCTAAGAATGAGTTAGGGACAATGATTCTTTGAAAGCCTTTAAAAAGCTCCATTTTTTAAACTCCATGCATATATTTTAATAATCAATATAATTTCTAATTTAATTTAATCTCTATCTATTACGAATGTATAAATATATAAAATTCATCTTCTCAACTAGAAGATTGTATTCCAAATGCACTTTAACAAGAGAAAATCGAAAGAGCAACTCATCTCACAAAACATTAATTACCTTAAAATGATTACTCAGTGCATGCATGTGCTATTTTCTTATTACTTTTCCAACATTTGTAGCAATTTCAACACATCCAGTACCACCTTATTAGATTTAAGAGGAAGAAAATGATTAAATAAACTTTCAAACTATTTGAAAATATTCAGTTGTACTCATTAAATTAGAAAAAGTTGCATATAAATAAACATACTTAAGGGGGAAAATAAGAGTATTCATTTCATTTTACCTTATTATTATTACCTTGTGCGTTTCATTTTTATTTTTATTTTGCTGATGTGTCATTTTTGTTTTGTTTTGTTTTTGTTTTTGCTTAGTTGTTGCCTAGTTTTCCTTTCATAACTTGCTATATTTTGTTTTCCTTTAATTAGAAAATGGCTAGGATAATAATAAGGGTATATCTGGAGTTTATGATGAGGGTTTCAGGTTTGGTAGCTGGCAACAATGACATCCTATGCAGCACAGAAATAGAAAATGGGGAAATAGGAAATGAGAAATGAGGAAATGATAATTCCAAAAGTATAAGAAACGAAACGTGGGGAAATGTATGAATAAGAAAAAGTATATTTGAAATTACTTTTAGTTGGGTGATGGGTTTGAAATTACTTTTAGTTGGGTGATGGGTTGGAGGGTCAACAAAATGATTGACCATAACATTACTTAGAGTCTGTTTTGATAAAGCTTATTTAAGAGTTTATAACTTATTTTAAGTTACTAATAAGCTATAACTTTATTTGGTAATGTTTTCAAAATAAACTGGTAGATTAAAATAAGAGCTTATTTTGAAACGTTTTAAAATAAACAAGTAGATTCTAAACTTTTTTTTTCTCTTTGTCTTTATTATTTTTAAAAAATCACATCCATTACCCTTCATAATTAAAATCCTTTCTCTTATCCTTTAGCAAATTTTACCGCAATAATTATTATTATTATTTATTATTATTATTATTATTATTATTAGATGAAGGAGATTCGCAACAATATTGTTACTTCATTATGTGATACTAGATCATGATTATGCTAATAATTTTATTTTAAAATGTTAAATTTTTTAAGACAAAATGCTAAATTTTAATTTGTAAAAAAATTAATTTAAATTTTATGAAGATGTCCTTTTTTATTGTTTTACATTTATCAACTTATAAAAAAAAAGTTAATTTTACCAAACATTTGAAGCATAACAGCTCTTTAGTTTCAACTCCTAACAGCTTTTCAGCTTTCAGTTCCTTTTAAGCTTTCAGTTAGATTTGCCAAACATAGTCCTAATATAAATCGTGGAACAAATCACTAATAGATAGTTTATACCAATTACCATAAAATTAATTTAAAATTAAACAAAAATTACAATGATTAAACTTCAAAATTTTAAAGTTGAAATAATTAAACATTCTACTTGTTTATGTTTTCATTAATATTTTTATTAAAAAAAAATTGGACATTAGTTTAAACTCATCTAAAAATCAGTTCATAGACTAAAGGATGCCGATAATGTTTTCTCTGTTCTTCACAAATGCAGCTTCACTAATATCACACAACGGGAGAAGAAAAAAAAAAATACTACTCCGTATTATTGTAGTGCAATATTAAGTGAAGGCTAGAAGTGTAATAGCAGTTAGCTGGGTAGGTAAACAGGATCAGTAAGAGACTGGAGTTCTGCCAGCTTTAACGATATGATAAAAGTATCATAATCTCGTAGTTCATTACAAGTAATCTTAGTAGCCAGCTGTCTGATATTACAAAATCTAGATTTTAGAATGTATATTATACTAATATTTATACAAATTATTAATCTTTCAGGTAGTCAAAATGTTTGTTTTATGCCTTTAATGTTATCGACGGTTTTGCTGCAATAGGAATGTCACTGACAAGATTATACTGCTACTTTCTTAATATAATCACTAGTCGTCAAATCGAATTCTTGTCCTTACGATAATCAAGGTTTATGTCTTGACAATTGCTATACATTACTTAATGTGTGATTAGATTACTATAATATATATATGCCTCTGCAAATCCATTTGGAAGACGACGCCATGTTGTTGTTGTTGTTTTTTTTTTGGTTGAAAATAATGAAGTTAATTTATTTAATTATAAGCTGAAACGATTACAAAAAGAATTGATTGAATGGTACAACATTTTTTAGAGTTAAATTTAGAAATAATTAATCAAGACTATGTGGTCTAATGGTACCCGGGTTAACTTTTCATTTGGAAGGTTACGAGTTCGAGTCTCAGTGGAGGCGTTATTGGTTCGAAAACAAAAATCGTTAGAGAACTTCGCATCATGTTGTTAGTCGACAACATTTTCATAGTTGTCAAAATTGTAATACATCACCTTCATTCATTGTACTAATAATATGTACTAGGATTTTTTTTTTTTTTTTCATATTATTTCAAATGATATGTCAATGCCAAATATTGGTCACCTTTTGTACACATACATTTAGAGTTAATTCCAGCAATGATCCTCGATTTTTAATTTGGACGAAAAAAGACACTTGACTTTCTAATTTGTGCCAGCAATGGTCATTCTATTATCCACCTCTCTCTTAGCCGTGAGTTTAGGGAGCAAAATGGTCTTTTCATTATCTACCTTTTTTCTTCCTCATTTGCGTCAGTATCAGTATTAATGGAGTTCTTCACTTCTTCGTATAGCTTCTCGGTAACACCTTGAGCAATACGCCGGAA